GTACAGTTACACTATATATGAAACCTATATAATATAAAACCCTTATAATTATATCAATTAAGATCTTATCAACGTTACATTTAGAAGCTAGGGTCACAATAATCTCTGATCTTTTCATCTTATATATGCTACTTATTCTTACTTTAATCTTTCTAGGTTGTATATTTTTCTTTTAAGAGTTTCTTTTAAAAATCGCTGCCCATGTCAGTCTTACCTTTCACCAACAAAACAGCCTAGTTTTTCTCACTCATATTCATATTACACTTACTACATATTGTACTTCATCGCATATGGGAAGATCGACTGTAGCCACTTCAGATAAGCTAGTACTTTTTTCTATTCACTCTCCAGCTATTTTCTAATGTTACCCACACATTTAACCTGTGCAACGTAAAGATCTTTAATTTAACAAAAAATGGGGTCTCATTGAACTTTAATAAGCTCTAATGTTTTTCTGCTAACTTGTTCACAGCAGTATTTACTTATATGTAGCATCATTTGATGCATCTTGTCCACCTCATTTAACACTAACGGATATAACACCCTGAGTACTAAATATTAACATATCCTCTTAAGTCGATTTCAAGGAGGGTCATCCAACATTACCTTTTCACCTCTTCCATCTCTCACCTTACTTTTAGATTTAGAGAAGGTTAAGTTAGAATCCATACTCGAGGATGTACTGGAAGGAGATAAACGACTGACTCTGAGACCTCCTGTGCTGGAGCGAGGCTAACAACGAACTTTTTGCCAGGTCACACATGAGATCGTTTATGACACTAAAATTTATAAGTCGCCTAGGTGCCATTTAGATCTTAACCTAATGCCTCCCATCATAACTTACGCGAATGCCGCCACATCCTTAGCTTCCCAAGTTCACTTCCCAAAAATATGGCACCGAGTGATGACCAGGGTAATAAGCACACTGCTACAACCAGTCAGATGAGCCTGATGCTTATGTTGGGTGACTCTAATTTAGCAATAAAATTTAGAATATCGCCAAAATTTTTTCGAATTAATGCCAAGTCTTTTTTAATTTTTTAATTTTAAATCATTGCAATTTTTGTTGCTCAATTAAAATGCTATTTTTTATGGTTTTGTGATATCACTTTTGAGAAGTTATTCATAATTGATTACATTTATTTTTTACAGTGGCTGCTATATTCCTTTGTTATGTTCTTGTCACTGATTGCTGCTCTGTTCTTTTTTGTATTCTTTGAATCCCCATTGAGCAGCCTTCTGTCCAACGTGCTTAGAAATAGAACATCGCAAGAAACAGCAATTTCCAATCTAAACATTNTCGCCAAAATTTTTTCGAATTAATGCCAAGTCTTTTTTAATTTTTTAATTTTAAATCATTGCAATTTTTGTTGCTCAATTAAAATGCTATTTTTTTTGGTTTTGTGATATCACTTTTGAGAAGTTATTCATAATTGATTACATTTATTTTTTTACAGTGGATGATATATTCTTTTGTTATGTTCTTGTCACTGATTGCTGCTCTGTTCTTTTTTCTATTCTTCGAATCCCCATTGAGCAGTCTTCTGTCTAACGTGCTAAGAAGTAGAACATCGCAAGTAACAGCAATTTCCAATGAAAACATTACAGAAATGAAGACAGACAAAAATTCAAAAATTTTTGTTGTGTGATAAACTTTGCAAATTATATTAATATTATATATATAAGACACTGTTAATTAAATAACTTGAAATATATTTCGTATATGATTTATTATGATAATATCACTTGTCTTGCTAGCGGCATGAAGATCTGATTGACCTTTATTGCTGCTTTCGTATACTTATATAATTTTTTTTACATATAATCAGCATAATTGAAAAAGGTGGATGGGAAACCTGGTTGGGGAAAGCCAAGAAAGACTTGGTTTGAACAAATAGTCAAGTACCTAAAAGAACGAAACATGTTGAGTCAAAAATAGAATGTGAAGAAGTGTGCTTGTAAAGGCACGAGTGTGTCCGAAAAAAAAGTGTGGACAGGAAGGTGTGGACAAAGTTGGTGAATGGGTTCTTCATAGGACTGTAGTGTACTTTTGCCTGTTGATCATTCTTTTTGTATTATAAGCGTGAAAATATATATGTATGTACTGTACGTTAAAGTATGTAATTCTTCATCGAAGCTAAGTATCACTTATGTTATCCGTAGACTTTTGTATAGCAGGGGTGGGCAAGCAAGAGGTCAGTGGAATCTGTACTGTTGGTTTTGCAAAATGCATGGGAGCTGCAGTTCTGTACTTTTTAATTTTGTACTGCAATTCTGTACCGCAATTTTATTATATAATATAAATATTATATAAAACAAATATTGAATTTTTTTAATAAACATATTTTCGCAAAATTGTGGAAATGAAATTGTAAAAACTAACAATAAAAAGCAGAAATAAACACTTTAAGCAAGAGTCGCATGTAACTCAAAAAGAGTTGCATGCTGCTCTCGGAGCCGCATTTGCCCGTGGTGGTTGTATAGTATAAGATATAAAAAATTAACAAATGTAATCCGTATACATGTAAATTTCCAAGTGATATGTCAATGTAAATAGTTTACATTTGTAGATATTTTAAAATACACTTATATTGTAAGAAAAGTATCAAGACTATTTCGAGATTCAAAAGTAACAATTGAAGTAAGTAGTATATATATGAGAGACTCTGGGATAATTTGGTTAACTTCGCGAGGTTTATAACTTTTATCCCAGAATCTCTNGTACCGCAATTTTATTATATAATATAAATATTATATAAAACAAATATTGAATTTTTTTAATAAACATATTTTCGCAAAATTGTGGAAATGAAATTGTAAAAACTAACAATAAAAAGCAGAAATAAACACTTTAAGCAAGAGTCGCATGTAACTCAAAAAGAGTTGCATGCTGCTCTCGGAGCCGCATTTGCCCGTGGTGGTTGTATAGTATAAGATATAAAAAATTAACAAATGTAATCCGTATACATGTAAATTTCCAAGTGATATGTCAATGTAAATAGTTTACATTTGTAGATATTTTAAAATACACTTATATTGTAAGAAAAGTATCAAGACTATTTCGAGATTCAAAAGTAACAATTGAAGTAAGTAGTATATATATGAGAGACTCTGGGATAATTTGGTTAACTTCGCGAGGTTTATAACTTTTATTCCAGAATCTCTCACCATTTTGAGGGAAAGACGTCGAGCAGGGGCTAAAATCGTGCAAAATCGCAGAATCTCTCGACCGATTCCGAGATAATTACCATCCCAGAAACTCTCATAGGAGTCGAAACCACACCCATTTTCGATGCCCCTTCGGTTATACTTCTCCGCGAGATTTGAACGAGAGTTTCTGGAATAAATCGCTCCGAAATAAGAGTAATTTTTAAGTACGAATATATTTTTTTAACGGTTCTATGTATATATATTTTTTTCTTTATATATAAGAGAACTATTATTATTTTTGTATAAGCGAACTAATATTTTTTTTTTTTTATTAACGACGATTTTTTGCGAGTGGCGCCATCTGTTAAGAAATATATTATTTTAAATATTTTTTTAATATATTTTCGAAATTAGATGTTAAAAGAAATAACAAATAACATGTACCGTCACTAATCGGATCATGCTATTTGCTATTTCGATATTTATCGATTTTTTAACGGTATTTATTGTGTCGCGACGGTGATTAAATAAACGACACGATTTTTTCTTTTTTCTCTCTTTTATTGGAATAAAGAATAGGGGTTACAATGATATATATTAATTTGAAGATTATACAAAAAAAGATAAGAGTATAAATTTTATTAATTATATTTAAAAAATAAAGATTATGTTAAAATTATTTTTTAGAAAAAAAATTATAACTTTTCGCATATTTTCGATAAAACATAAATCAGAGTAAAATGATAATTATTCGATACAAATTTGTTTGATAAATGTTTCTGATTAGCAATGACAATACACCAATTAAGTTTATGCTTGTAATCTTCCATAAATTTTTCGGATAATTCTTGGTGCTTCGAAATAAGGTCCCAATCCACAACGTTATCAAGTTCTCTAATAATTTCTTCGTGCAATTGTTGATATTGACAAATAAGCTTCATATTCAGGAAATGTTTAAAAGTTAATATGAAATTTTGACTCAGTTTTTGATATTGAGATACGAGATTCCAGTTTAGACGATCGTGATATTGAGTCAAAAAGGATTCTGATAGCTGTTGATAACGACAAACATCGTCCCAGTTAACTCGTTGAACATATCTGTGTATAAAATCGGAGGAGAAGCGTTTGTTTTTCCAAATTTTATTCCAATTTAATTTATGTTGGAAATCTCTAATAAATTCGTCACTAAGATTAGTTTTTTCAGAAATAATGTCCCAATCGACTTTATCTTCAAGTCGTCTTATTACTTCTTCGCTTAAATTTAATCTAGAAAAATCTTTCCAATCAAAATTCGGGCCTACTTCGCGAGCTATCATCTCTGCGTTGTTTCCGTTCATTATGATATGAAAATAGTCCTTCTTCTTCCTTCGATAGTAATACGAATAATGATTAGTTTTATTGTTTTTGTCTCGCTTTTATATAATTTTTTTTTATGACGCAATCGCTTGGTTTTGGTTTTGGTTTTGTTTTAGACCAATGACGTAATCGCTTTTATGACGCAATCGCGTTTTTCCCCAATAAACCGGTTTTAGTTAAATGAACCTAAAAATATTATTAAATAAAACAAGACACGAAATTTAAAAAAATATATATTTATTGGTTTTCACTTTTATACTCGAAATACATTTTCGGAANAATAATTTTTAACGATACAATAGTCACGATTATTATTTTAAAAAGTTTACATTAGGCTTAACATCGACGAAATTCAATGCGAAGCGACACGCAACGGAGAAAAATTTCAACACGGGATAGGTTAATGTATTTTTTCGTACATAATCGGTTATCCGAAAAATAAGTTATCTGAACAACCCAGTCCTCAATTGATTCAGATAAACGACGCTCTACTGTATAATAAAGGGATGAATTGTAATATCTATGTTTATAATAATTTATAGTAGTGGTACATAGAGCGCACAAACATTCAAATTTGACTCAATCATCATCAAATAAATGCAATTCAAAACATGCTGAAGGAGAAATTCATAAGATAACAATTATTACAGAACTTTTTGAAATGGAAAAATTCTTAAAAAAATTTTTTAGTGCACATATTAAAATATTGAAAAAATGATATAAATAAATTTGTGATGACTTACAATCCAGTCAAACATATATAAAAGTCATTTCATAATGGTGAACAATGTAACAACAACACAAGCGGATGATGCAATCTCAATGACATATCAATCATAATGTAAGACTAGAGAATGAGTCAAGTGGCTTTGTTATTTCTACAGTGCATGTAGTACATGGTATTTTGGACCAAGGAGTGTTAGAAATAATCATGCACAGGCTTCAGATAAGGTGAAGTGTAAAGATCAATGGTCGATCGTCGAGATTGAGACTATCTGGCAAAAGTCCAACAAACATTCTCAATACTTTGCATGATTCGCACGGTGATCAAACAACATACTGGAGTACAGTTTCCTGCTGGATTAGTTGTTTTCTTAAGGACATTTAAGTATAAACAATGCCCCGAAATCAATAAGGCTAAAAATGACAATGGACAAGCAACATGTGAAACAACTGTTGAGCAATGTGTAGAAACTATAGAATCTACAAGAATTTCACCAACATCAGTATCCTATATTTTAACAAACAATTTACAGAAAAGAAAGATTTCAACTGGTTGGGCCCATCATGACTTGACTGTTACACATAAATAGTCTCATACAGACAATGCAGCAATGCTGAAGCAAAGATTTGTTCCTGAAACTAATTATTTCAATCAAAGAAATATGAGTTAGTTACTTCCAACCTAAGTTAAAATTGCAATTGAGTGAGTGGTGCATAATTACAAATATAACTGAAATCTCTTAAATCAATAACAAAAATTTGCTGTATTGATACTCGCATTATATGACAGTTTCTCGAGTGTTTCTGGGCAATCGACCTCACCAGTGGGAGATACAAAAGTGAACTAGCTTATAGCTATCATAGGTGACTTGGCTAACCCCAGTTGTTCACATAAACGTATTTAATAAATAAACTTAATTATCTATTGAATCTTATCTTCATAATACAACAGTGGTTTCAAAGTATTATAAATTAACAATTCATTGGAGGTTAATGCAATGTCTGTAATTTGCATTATTCTGTATAAAATAAATTTGAAAATTTTATTAAACATATTTCCTACCTTTTGTTGAAAAATTAATTTTTGTCTCCGGTCTTTTTCGGCTAAACAAAGAATAAAAAGTGTCAATGATTACATTTTATCATCACCATAATTACTGCAATACCTATGATATAAAACTAATCAACAGAATATAAATCAGTTAATGAGGTTTAATGATAATATCCATTTATACAATAATGAATATGACTTTAAAACTTTTTTGATTATAAAGCATTCTATTATTAAAGATTGTACTCTATAACTTAATAATCAATTTAACTGTGCAATACAGTTCAGAAATTTCTTAATATTAAATAAATAAATAACTAAGGTTCAAATGTTTTTGACATGTTCAAAAATGTCATTTTTGGAACAAGAATGACGTATTGAAACATACAAGAGATTTTGCACGTCAAATGGAATTAATTGGATACAACCAATCGGAATTCCTTTTAAAAGGCATTAAGAATTCAGATAAAATGAATAAAAACACAAAATAATTAATGGAAAAAATTATATAAGATTAGCCAGAAATCCATCAACATAGACTTGTTCATAAGCATTAATTGCCATGTGAGTAAGGTTTCCCACATGAAAATCATTTAAAATAGGTGCAGCTAAGCCTCTAGAAATTTTTGCATGCTATATGTAGAAAATTAAGGAAATTTATATTATGCATACCTAAATTCAAAAATAAGAAAATGATTAAAATTGTTAACTGCAATTAACAATTTTCTGTTAATGTGGAATGATTTGTATTCAACTGTATGAAAGTCAAACAAAATAAAATGTCTTACAAGTAACAAGAGGAACTAAATACTGTAGTCCTTCACAGTATAATTGAATAGCATCATTATAATCACCATAACTATCCTTCAATATAGCTTCTTGAATTAATTTTACCTAAAATTAAATGAAACTATATGTTAATAATTTATTACTGATCTCAACGATCAATCAAAATAAGTAACTGTGCAAACTTACTCCTTTTTGATACGATTCTGGAGAGGGCATATGCTTCAGGTCAATGAATGGATGATTGAAAAAATCTTCAAAAGTTATTCTTTTATTTGGATCTCTTTCCAGAAGAGATAAAATGAGATGTCGACAATTGTCGGAGATATTTACACCATAGGGAATCTAAGTTGTCAAAGAAAACTTAAAAATTGAGATTTCTGATAGGAAATTAACATTTTATTTTATTGTGTCAAATTTGCTAATAAATATTTACTATAAATATATTTAGTTATTATGATAACTTTGTGTTGTTGTTTGGCTTCTTTGAGATATAAAGTGCTTAAAAAAAAAAACCCGTCAAAAATTTTGAAAAAAATTATTATTTTCCTAAACATAAGGATGATGATAATTTTTTCTACAGTCTACAATAAAAAATCATTGTATTGTTTTATCAGTTTTCAGAAAAATTGCATAGCTTCTCACAGAAGTCAGGTAACCTAAATTATAATTTTTTTCGTTATTTCAACCCCAAACCTTCATCCTTTAACACGACCCTTTGTGGTACAAAAGTACACATATAGCCTGTGGCTGGGAGTATTGTGAGAGGAATGATAACAGATTGAAATTTGACATGCATATCTGTTTGGTTTTTAAACCATATTACATAAAAATATGAAATGAATAATATCCTGAATATATAAATGTTTGATATCAGTAGAAGCTTCAAAAATAATATATGTTTGGCCATTATGTTTCACATGTTGTTTTAAACACTCAATAGAAATGATTTACATTAGGCCATAACAATATCATTTGGTAATATATTTGAATGTACAGTACATCAAACAGTACAAAACAAAAGTACAAATTATGTCTAGTAATGAGGTTTATATACATGTCTGAGTATGTAAGTTTAAAATGCATATGATTTGGAGATATCATTGCAATAAAATCATATACTGTAATTAATAATTCATTAATACTGAAGGGTTCTGTACTTAATATATATGGGGGAGATCTGCCCACAGATATTCATTGGTGATTTAAGGTGATGCTATTTAAGAGAATGCTATATTGTTCTGTGATAGAAAAATGTTTATAATGTAAGAAAAATGAACAAAAATAATTTTTCAAATAGCTGAAAATAATAATCTGTTAAAATTTATTTAATTTTTTCATTAAAATCTTGATAAACTTAGTTTCATAATATTTTAAAATATTTAAAGCAAAGTGTGTCTCAGAAATTTGCTCTTAAGAGTAATTTGTCATCATTAAAATTTATGCATATAATTATTGTATATTTAGATAAATTACAGTATATTGTATACTAATCTACCTGGACTGATTAACAGTGATTACTTAGATTAGATTAGACAATGATTAATTATAATTTTTATTCTAATCTAAATAATCACTGTTAACTAGAATAGTATACAATATACTGTAATTTATCTAAATATACAATAATTATATGCATAAATTTTAATGGTGGCAAATTATTCTTAAGAGTAAATTTCTGAGACAGACTTTGTTTTAAAATCTATATGTAGTAAATAATATAATTTAAACAATATATACATGTATATATAACATGCTGAAGTACAACAATAGCCAGCTGAGTGTCATAGTGCCAAGTCATCTCTAGCCAGCATCATAAGTAACTGAGTATGGTTATATCTAAATTAATAAGTTCTGAAAGTGAAGATTGAATGAAGTCCAGGTAGAGTAACTGGCAACATAACTGTAAGGTTAGCAGGAGTTGCAGGTTTGAGTCCCGCTTCAGGTCAATTCTTTTCTTCTAGAATGTTCTAAATTAATTAATTTAATTATGATTATTAAATTTAGCAAGAGATGGGACCTAATAGTTGCCTCTAGTGCAAAATTACTTTGCATTTAACTAATAAAAGTATTAGCAATATAGATCAATATAATTTGGCAATTGTTAGGCTTCAATATTTACTGCTTATTTATGCATAATCTTTGACACTGCATAAGAATGTCATAAGATTTATTTGTATTTTGCAGCATTATCTCTACATGCTATCATTATTTAAGTAAATAATGAAATTCTTTGAAATAATTATTAAAATGATCTAGACTAATAAATTGAATCTTCATTAAACAATTTTTGAATGATGTCAATATTATAAACTAAACAAAATTTTTATTTAGAAAGCAATAAAAATTATGCATAAACAACAATATACAGCAGATAGAATTAAACAGAATATTATATTCTTCGAGTAAAATTATATAACATTAAAAAACAGAAACATAAGATATCTATTTATAGTTCTTTTGGCAAAAACTTATCTATCTTGTACAGTAAAAGCAATGTGGACTGTAGTAGTATCTCTAACAGAATACAGTGTGTCTGTTTTGTTTAGTCAATAATAATTTAGTGAACATTGTTGTAGAGTTTTTTTAATAATTGTCTTCACTTAACAGCTGTTATACAATATTTTAAATTTCAATTTATTCTATGTTAATTAATATAAAATTGAATTTATACCAGTTTAAAATAAAAATAACTCTGAGAAAAATCTGCTTGGAAAAGCCTGTCTCAATGGCTTGAATTTGAATGTGTTCTAACTCAAATTGATCATAATTAAGAAACACTAAATAAAAATAATGCTTCTATTTTTGGAGTTTATTTACTTTGTAATATTGTTTTCTGTATATTTCTTTTATTTTGTCTAAAGTCAATGTGGAAGCAAGCTTCATTACTTTATTTTTAATTGTGTTGAAGTAAAATTATTTTCAGTTTACTATACTTATGATATCTCTCTAATTCTGCTCTATTGGAGAAGATAAATCTTATGATATTAAGATACTTCAGAAAGTATGTTAATATCTTCTAAACATTCAGCTTTTTGACTGATTTTCAGGGATAATCATCATTTCTAAAAACTGCAATTGTTCTGATAGAATTTTTAATCAGAAGTGTTACATCCTGAAGATGGGTCAAAAGATCCAAAAGTACTAGGGAAAGTTCAGAAAGTATATTAATGTGATTTATTCTGTTCAATACAGGATGTAGAGAAATTTTTGGAGGTTGAAAAAATTTCCATATGACTAATGTGGGAAAAAAATTTATGCGAAAATTATCTGTTTCAATTGTAAATTATAGAATTAAATACAATTGCTTAAGAATTAATAATGTCAAATTTAGCATTACAAAATTACAAGATTGTTATTTACTTGAATTGGCTTTGTACTCTTTATTTTATCCGCTAGTTGAGAAAACGTATCTGAGGAAAAAGGAGCTTGGCCAAATAAACACTCTACATTGAAAAAATTTATAAAATATTTAAAATCATAAAATTAATAAAAATCTTATCATTAAAAAATTAATAGGGCTTACCATAAAGTATTATACCAACAGACCAGAGATCTACTCTTGCATCATAGTGATGTTTCAACAAAATTTCTGGAGCCATATATAAGGGAGAACCACGCAGAGATGTAGCTCTATCTTCAGGATTTAGGTACTGAGCAAATCCAAAATCTTTATATGCAATAAAATAATGCATTATAATATGTAAACCACTTATAAATAATCTAGTAGTAATTAATTAATATTACCAACCTGCCAATTTCAATACTGGGTCTTGATTATTGGACAAGAGAATATTTTGAGGTTTCAGGTCCATGTGAGTTATGTTATTAGAACGAAGAACTTTTAACGCAGTAGCTAGCAATTATACAAAGTATTCTTAAAATATTTATTCCAAATAAAATAAATAAATTAGTATGTATCATTATTCCGTAGATATACTTTTCAAATAAAGAAGACTCTTATCATTTGTGTTTCTAAATTATGTAGTACATTGATAATTCAAGGACTCTTGTCATTAAAATAAAATAAGCATTTATTGGTAAAAAGTTATTTTTTTTAATCACACATGAAAAATTTATATATTGAAATAAATTTCGATTATGTACATCAATAATTTCTAGTAATTTTAGTAAATTAATATAAATTCTTTCTCGATACATTCCTAATCATGAAAATAATGTATTGAAAAAGCATAATTATTTTTTATATATACAGGGTGTTTATAATTAAAGTTCCACTTTGAAATGGCCATAAAATGAAAATTACTGGACAGAATGTTATCAAACTTGGTAATAGTGTACAGGACATCATGGGATTTTATTTCCCGTGAAAAAAAAAGTCCAAAAACTCACCACCTGTGGGAAATGGCACTGTGTGCAATATTGTTAAACGAAATAAGACATGAAGACATCATTGAAAATGTTTTTAAATCGGTTTTAAAATGCATTATAGAGCATGTTCAATGTGGCATCCACCATTTTTTATAAGCAAGTTAAATCGCATTACTGTGTTCTCAACAGTAGCTCTTAGCATATCAAGTATTAAACTATAAGTCTAATGTCCCTCAATCTATAAAATTCAATATATTCAAATTGTACATAGAAAAAATTAAAAATAAAATGACTAATTTACAGGACCAACAGCTGGAAATAGAACAAATAAAATGTTTTTATTAAATGAATATCCTAAAAAAATATTAGAAAAATGGAAGGATTGGATCAATAATCAAGCTAATAAAAATAGTAATTTTAATAAAGACTAAAATTGTGTAAATTTTACATATATACCAAAAATATTTTGAAAGATAAAAGTAAATTTAATTCCCGAGAAAAATAACTTATTTAAAAGATATTTATAGTCGACCCCCCTATAACATGGGTTCCTATAGTTTGAATTCCTATATCACAGCGAAAAAATTGCAACAGTATTCGTACAAACATGCTAAAAAAAAACTCCTATAATTCGGTAAAACATCATCGCTGACTCATGTTGCGACAGGATTGCACAAACCGTTGAGTTTAAACGAGCAGTGGACCTACCAAAAACCATTTATTATTTAATGTCCATAAAAATTATATTTATATTAATGATACCTCTAAAGTTCAGTGAATTTTTCGCAAAAAAATAATTTATCAGGAAGCATGCGAGCGCCATTCGGCGACAATCTCCACAACAAAAACAAGCTTAAGCAAAGGCATAGTCAAATGGTGCACACTCGATAAGTAATCCTATAATTTTTTGTTTATAGCATAGTTTATATGGATTATTCCCAAAAAATTATACGTATTTTGGAAATGTTCAGTCAAATTAGTCTAGAATCAATTAATTTTATGGAAGAAACCTTTCAAACAGCCGTAGTCCATAAACTGCATATGTGCCGGGCTGTGATTGGCTGGACTCCTAGAAGTTGGATTCATAAAAACAGGAACATATCTACCGTGTTATAGGGGGTCGACTGTATATAGGTCAGATAAGAAATTTGAACTAATGGATGAAAAAGAAGTTGTTTATTCGCTTAATTGCATTTGTGATCATAATAAAACTTATATAGGGGAGACAAAAAGAAAATTAGGAATTAGAATAAAAGAGCATATATGCACCATAAGAGGTAATTATGCAAATTCAGAACACTGTAATAATTATGGTTGTCAGATAAAAATAGATACAGTAATAATAAAGAAAAAAACCAAATAATTATAAAAGGCAGTTATATGAACACATAAATATTAAAAATGAAAAAAATAGTATAAATAATAACTTAGGCAGAATAATCCACCAATCATGGGCAGCCATCTTAGATAACGAATGAGCATTAATATCTTGGTAAGTTCAACACACGCCAGTATTGTGTAACTTGATAGAATGAACATTGTAAAGGTAAACCTTTTTTAACAAAATTGGTAGTTTTAACATGTTTTTTAGTTCTATTGGAACATTTTTAATTTTTAATTTTAAATAGGAATATGAAGCAATGTAAAATTAAATATAAAAACCAATTATTGTTGGTAATTGGATGCCTGTATATCGTAAGTTTATAAATATTTTGTTGGTAAATCATTTTTTATTTTTATTTTATTTTTAATTATCTATTTATTATTTTATAGTCAAATATTGTAATCCTTGTAATCCTGCTGATGAGGGGCATGATGGCCCGAAACACAGATGATAATCGTTGTATGTGTACAGTTAGCTTAATAAAGAAAGTCTGTTTTCTCTAAGAACATTTTCCTCAATTCTTGTGTAAATGCTTAACACCAGTATAACTGTCCTGTTAATGATTAATGTCCATGTTGACAAATATATAATAAACTCAAGTATAATTGAGAATGTAATATTAATTATAATCAAGATAATCACAGCAACAAAGATTAGTAATAACACTACTTGTCAAAAAACATAATATATTAGTACAACATAGAAGTTGTTTAATTTTGCCAAAACACATTTTGACAATTAATTTTAATTTCTCCAATGAGCATTTTGACCCATTGCCATGGAAATGAGACTGGCAATCATTCAAAGAGTTTAGTGCTTGGCACATTTAATGCATTCAACACAACAATGATCGATTTTTCTGCAGTATGACTACTGCAGAAAATGGCAATGTCCCAATAATCTGAACAACATGTTGGACAGGACTGTACATATATGATGATGTACAATTAACATTTAGTTTTTCAAAAATCAATCTGTAAGATTTGATCCTAACGTGTGTTTAGTATGAAAATGCTTACCAAATTCACAGTTTAGTTTGTATATATTTTTACTCCTCCATTAAAGTATTTTTATAATTTAATTTGAAATGAAATTGTGGAGTTTTATATATTTAAGCTTTCAATTTTAATTTTTAAAATTATGCCAGTGTTATGTGAATTCAAAATGAAATATTAAGTTGAAACTGAATTAAGGCTTAAAAAAAATATTCTACCAAATTACTATTAGCTTTAACATTAAAACAAGAGAAAAACCAACCTAATTGTTGCAAAAATCTACAGACAATAACTTCGGGTAGTCTTCTCCTTTGACGAATAAAATGTGACAGGTCACCACCGCTGCAGTATTCCATAATTAAGTAGATGTATTTATCGTCCCACTAAAATAAACAATGCATTTTAATTCTTAATGTTTAAAATTCATAATCTTTCTAAAAGAATTATTTTTAAGAAATATCTATAATTTAAATCTAATTAATAATTTAACCAAAATCTAAATTTAAATTTTCATTTTAAAAATTAGAAAACTATCTAAACTGGACTTTATTCAAATCTAAGTAACTAGATTTGTTTTAAAAAATTAACAAAACAACACACATTTGTCAACAGTCATTCCAATTGTGTAATTTTTCTAAATTAAAATTTTTTTAGCACAATCCAAGCACATTGTGGAAAACTACTCCAAAAACATAATTCAAAATAATTAATCTAATATGGCCATAAATCATTATCGTGAGCATTTAGATCACAATAATAATTTATTGCCATATTATTGACTTATTCGTATAGATCAATACTTTGAGTTAACAAAGCTTTTTATCAGCACAATTTTTATTCCAAATTATTAAAGAAAGATAATCACTCATTAATAGTCAAAAATTTATTTATTCTCTATTTATCGTAAAATCATGAAGATTAGAGATTAAAAACAGATTAAATTTTGATTTATGTTTTCACCAATCTAATTTAATGTAAATCGTAACAAATTCAATGTATCAATTAAATTGTTTTTCCTAATTAGAAACTTATATTTTTAAAAATTCATTTGCAAGTTTTAAAACAAAAAAAAATCCATAAAAATAATTTATTTTGTCTATTTTATAGCAACTGCATTTCTTAAAAACAGAAATTAAATTTTCTGACAGAAATCCTTGACCTATTTACAAAAATAATAAGCAATTTAGCACTGTTTTAATTTAATATCTAAAATAATACTGATTATCTGTTATTACTATAACTGGTTAGTCATCCATCAATATATTTCAAAAGCCATGACAAAGTATGCATAAAACATCTGAAATTACAATATTTTAATATTTTGGCAGGTATTTTTCTTTTAATTTAAAAAATAAATTCTTCATTATTCTTTATGACAATCAATTAAGAATTTATAATAATAAATTCACAGGTCTTAATACTCAATTAAGTTAATTTAGTCCATAAATACTGTATTACATAAATCAGAAAGACTGACAATTAATTGCACAGTTTAGTATCACATTTAAGTTAATACTGCATGTATCTAAATATATAAAATTGCTTATCCTGACTGACTGACTCATTGATTCATCATTGCCTAGTGCAAACCGCTTAACTTAAAGAGGTGAAATTTGGTAGACAGTTAGGGTACATCATGGAAACGCACACTAAGAAGGGATTTTTCGAAATTCTTCCGTGGGGAGAGAGGGAGAGGATTAAGGATTAACCAGAAAAACAGCTTCTACTGCACTATTTTATATGCAATTTTTTGTTTTTATCTGCGTTTTAGTAGGGTATGCCATGGGAATGCACGCTAAGAAGGGATTTTTCGAAATTCCCCCGTGGGCGGGAGAGGGAGAGGATTTAATCTTCATCGAGTACTTAGGTGTATTAAAATGATAACATTTCAGACATTGTTATAAATATTTTTATCTATTTCGATTTTAAAAATGTTCAAACTGTTTTAGATTCAAATTTGTTATTGCATATTGGTTCGATTATAGAACAATTGTAAACGTTCCAGAAAATTGATCAAATTGAAAATAGTTCGTTTGATTCTCGGCAATTCTCGTCATTCTCGGCGGTAGGTGTTATATAACAATTACTATAGTTGTTGAAATATTGAATGTAAATGGGGTTTGCTTGCAAAACCTCTGCAGACAAAGTCATGGGTAACAGCTAGTTTCATATAAAAGTTTATAAAAACTTTAAACTATAACTATTTGTTTAAATGTGATGTGAATTATTTTACAGAAATATCAGCAATTCTCAACATAAAAATATTTAAATTCTCTCCCTAAACAGATTCACAAATGTCTCTGTCCCAATACTTAAAATATGATAATTCTTTCAATGATTCTAAATTAAGCTAGCCATTGCAATGTTAGGAAAGCAGGAACAAATCAATATCTATTGATATATAATTTTCCTACATTATCCAGACTCTATTTTTTATAATTGAGTTACAACACTCCAAATCTGATCACATATAATGTAATTTTGAGGCTCAAATCTATTTAAATGCCATCACATTACATTACTAGAAGAATTTTTTGTATCAAATGCTAATCTTAAATTCATACTTTAAATACAAGAAATTCTCATAATTCTCACACTCTGATAAAACTTTGTCCCACAATTTATGTTCCAATTATTTGACACTAACCAATTTTCAACATTATCAGGTCAAATGCAAAAATAAGACTAAAAATTTGGAAGATTTTCATTAACTCATAGAATTTTACAGGGTAATTTTCATACTTTTCTTTTCCTAAATAAATGTAAATGTATTAAAATGTTCCAAATCTCTCAGCAAAGTCTTATTTTAAATTAATCAGAAAAATTTCAGTAATTAATTCTGAATATCTAGGGTAACATTTATATATATGCATCCACATTTTGGCAGTAAAAATTATTTTCTGCATACATTTTTGCGAATTCCATTTCATCCACATTTCCAGTGACTGAATTTTTATCTTCACTCTTGTAGTAGCAAACTTTAAAATGGAAGATTTATATCTATTAATAACAGTGTAGCATTAAGTTTAGAATTCAGAAGTTGGTTACCCAACCAATTATTACACCTTCAATCAATAGCATTTATGCTCCCAGCATTAAATTTTTAGTATTTTTTGTCCCTTATGTTTCCAGTTTCAATTTCTATTTTGATTCTGATCTTTTTTAGCAGCCAGCTTTACTTTTTGGTAATGTGCAGAGATACAATACATAGTGTCTACTTTCATCATGCAATTATAGGTTACAATAATCTACAGTTTATCCATCTAGATCAGGGGTCGCCAAAGTGGTCATTATTCACCCCCAGGGGTCGATGCAACATCATTGGGGGTCGATTAGGGGGTCGATGCGGCTAAAGGGTCACAACCTTTTTTTTTCTTTTTTTGCTCATACAGAGACCACAATGTTCTTTTTTTTTGCTCATACAGAGACCACAATGTTCTTTTTTTTTGCTCATACACATACACTTGTAATAAAACTTTACGGTGGGGGTCAATGTGAGGCTTTGGAAAGTGGTTGAGGGTCGACGGTTAAAAAAGTTTGGCGACCCCTGATCTAGATCAATGTTTCTCAAAGTGGTTCCTACAAACCCCTGGGAGTTCTTGACAAATTAAAATTAATTTGGAATGCATGGACAATATCAGGGGGTCCACGAAAGGTTTAATAAAAAGTAAAATGATTGTCACCCGTTTTCGTTATTATGAAAGTTAAAAATAAATAATAATAAATTGGTAGTTATTTTTACATCCTGAGTAAAATATAAGTGTCCACAAGTTTCCAGAGAAGGTTCGTGTATTTTCCCGTACTGTAGTGCACCGTCATGCTGCTGTAAGATACTGCAAGAACAATAGAACTGCAAAACTATTAATTAATAATTGATTTTAATTGATTGAGAATATAATTGATTTTTAAATAACTAATAGAAATTTGTTCATAACGACCACTTTGTTAGTAATTGATAAGAGTAATATATTTTAAATTATAAAGAGAGTATTTCGATTTTTTACATAAGTTTAAATTTTTTCTAACAAAGAAAAAAGTGTGCTACTTGCATGGTGGGAAAATATCTTAAAGCTGATAAAAGTTTAAAGTAAAATTAAGAAAACATAAATCCTATTTTTTAATTTTTTTCTATTTAGAAAATAATTGGAAAATTGGCTTCTATAATTTTACTAATATTCTGCTGTTATTGTTCTTCAGGACATATTTATATCCCCGTTTAATTCATAAAGTACTCAAAAATATTCACAGAATATCGTAGAATTAAGTCTAATGCAAAGTTTTTGGATTTTTATATAGTTTCTTCTGCAAACTTGTATTTTCTAATTTATTTTTAGATGGACAGTTATTTTCACCAATTAGTACTATAAAATCGCAGAATAATTACATGAGAGAATGGCCACCTTTGGAATATCCAACTATATTTGAATACCTTATTAAAAGCAAGAAATGCTTAATTTTAGGAGTCTTGACTCAATTATGTTTCAAGTGGTAAAGTAGATGAAATTTTAATTGATAAATTGTCACAAAACATTTGTGTCCTTAGAGCCATCATAAATCCTATCTGCATGTAATCATTTTGTATGGACTTGTGTGTCTAATGATAGCAAAGTTATTTATCTACCTGGATGTATTGTACGTGCATGGCTGGTTACTCATTCTCTTCTTAAAATTTTTATTCCATGGAAATTAATGTAACTGGTACATTCAAATATGTGGACAATCTCGACACATCATGTTTTCACGTGTGTCGCACACAACTTTAAACCACTTATAAAGAACTCTCTGGCTATTATGGCAGTCAACCATTGCACGTAATCTACCCGAAGTGGTTTCGTAAGACATTGCCGCCAACGATTGTTGTTAGTTTAGGTCTGCAACTAAAAATTGCAGACCTAAACTAACGACTAGCAGTATCATAATGGCTGTCAAGACATATGCCCTGGTGTGGCAGAATACAAAAACATTTTCTGGAAACTTGTGGATAGATAAGTACATAAAATACAAGTAAGGACAAGCATTGCATGGTGGAAATACTGGCTAAAGCTTGCCCATTTTGAAAATGGGCTCTGTGCTTCATTTAATGCACATATTACGACATTTTAGAATTTATTTTGTTCGTTTATGGAATTTTATACATTTATTTAATTTCTTTCCAAAACAGTGATTATTATTGGTTGTTTTTCATAATTATAAAAACCATTTAATGACTAAAAATATATAAATAATTTAGCATGTAAAATGTCTACTAGGACTTATTATACCGATGACCTTGTTCTGCAAATTTAAGAAAACTAATCAGAAAAAACAACGGTCTTTATTCTTCACCCGTGAACAATAAGGTGAAAAATAAAGACTCTGTTTTTCTGATTAGTTTTCTTAAATTTGCAGAACAAGGTCATCGGTATAATAAGTCCTAGTAGACATTTTACATGCTAAATTGTATAATAAGGACACACAGACATATGAATTAATATATAAATAATTCATTTATTTTGATCAAAAATATGTTTTTCTATGAAAATTCAATAGATAAAATAAAAAACATTAATTTTATATTTTTGTAATGTAATTTATAATCCCATTAGAAATAAATTATACATTTTTTTGTTTTCATTATATTATACTCATTTTTCAAAAACAAGCAAGCTTTAGCTAGTAATTTCGATAAATACTACTTTAAATATCAAAATGTTTTATTTATTTATATTTTATTTTTACACCATCATTTACCATTCAAGACATCAAAATTAAATTTGTTATTTTGCTATTACATAGTCGCTTAGAGTTATTTCACTCGGGGTTCACGGTCAACTTTTTGCTACGAGAAAAATCCACGGGTATAATAAATTTGGGAACCGTCGGTATAGATTCGTCGACGCAACCGCTCGCTTAAATCAACTTACAATACGCAATCAGAAACAAAATTTTACTCGTACAAAATTTTACAATAATATACGTAAAAATAATAATTAAAGAATAAAAAAAAACATCGTTCGTCATCTAACAAAGTTTAAAGGATGTGGTTCGAGAGTGCACGCGTAACGGGATCGGTCGGGAGGAACCGCAATACACAAATACAATCATATCCGACACAGTGAGATTACTAGGTTCTACGTCACTCACCGGTCGGCGCGGTAACTGGCGACATCGCTCCCGCGGATTTCTTTTCGTACCGACCCGCACGGAATCCCCGGCAACGTTTTTCATAAATCACGTCGTCGCTCGCAAACCATCATTTTTGTACGTTACCGAACCTAGCGGCAAAAACACGCACGACTAGCAAAAATTACGCTTTTACCCGGCACGCTCACCCCGTACGTATTATATCTGTTTATTTATTTTTTGTAATCGTATTACATTTGTAAAATACATTACATTAAAATTTTTATTGTCATTCGATAATAATGTCGGCTCCGACCAGAACACACTAGAAGATTTGAAAAGTAAAGTAGCATAGTTTTTTTTAGCATTGTGGTTAAGCATTGTCGTCCCCACGACGCGACTGCGGGGAGTGACGTAACCGATGTGATCGAAACGAAATTTAAACTTAAAATTACGCTAATCGAATGTAGCTACAGTTTCATCTCGCGGGTGACGATATTCAAGATCTTTACACGTGATTTATTCATTATCGATGGAACATACCTCGAAATCTTTGAGTTCAACGATGTATTCATTTTTGACTTTCTTCAAAATAGAAATTTCCGTAATTAAATTATCCACCGCAGTCTTATTCAGCGACGACTTTTCCACGCATTTTATGGCCACGACCTCTCTTTTGGATCCCTTTAACAACATTAAACGTGTTTTAAGCGTAAACTTGGTTATTTCCACTTATAATTATTAGAACTAACCTTTCTGTACGCTTTGTAGACGGTTGCGTACGATCCTCTTCCCAATTTTTCGGCAAAGACGAAAGAAGTGAGTTGAGGAAGACAGGTCATTTCGTTTCCCGTCTTACTACCATATTTCCATTTTGGAATGTCGCAGCGCCGTCTGAAATTCTCTAATATCAAAGTAATCGATACTTTATAATATTAATAAATACTGTATACGAAAAGTTTACGAACGCTTTTAAAAGTATAATCCTTAACTTTTATGTTTTCGGTTGTACGGAGTGTAGAACCGCCTTATGCTTTTTGTTTTCTTTTTATTACTGTACTACTCTTCACTAAGAGCACCGAGATGGTCTTTTGTTAGCGAGTTAGTGGCGATGGGACGGCCGGGCAAATACGTAATATTCTTTGCTGTTTCGTTAGAAAGCGAAGCTACCTAAGTCAAACTAATCGCGATACGTCAATTTCGGCAAGCGACACTGTAGCCATTAGAATGAAAACAAATATAATATAAAACAATATAAAGAATTACCGAGGAGCGGGACCCGAAAATTTCTGAGGTTTCCCGGATCCCAACAGAGACCAGGGGGCGGATCTACATAGGGACTAATAGGGCTCAAGCCGTACGGATGGCTCCATTGGACTTCGATAAGCCCTAAGCCCCGAAAATCCTTGATCCGCCCTCGGGTAGGCCGGTCGTCGAACTTTCGACGTCAAATCATTCCGAAATGTTAACGCAACATTAAACTGAGCAATTATTTTACAAATTTCCTATATAATTACTTTTCTAAGAATTAAATTTTTTCGTCAATATATTTTAGAACACAAATAAAACATTGTTTCCGATTTAATAATTTTTATTTTAACTTTTATCGTTGCAAAATTGTTTCATAGAGGAAAAAGTTGGAAACGTCGCTGGTCCGAACGACTTCTAATTCAAAATTACTAACGAGTCGATGCACGACACGAAATTCGAATGATTTGGTGCTCGTTTGTAAGTTAGTTCTTAGTTTTCTCGATCCCAGGAGGAATGGACTGATGACCGAGGCGGTTAAGGCGATCCGGACAAATAACCACAAAAATTTTCCTGTAAAGATGTTGGGTCTCCTCCCTCGCCACCGGCCATTCTTTTGTTGGCCAGAACCCACGAGGAGTATGGAAAAAGGCCCTCTCGGTGTTCGTGGAAGCACTAAGAAGCGCTCCGGCACTGAGGTCTCTTCGGGACTCCCGCAAGGAGAGAGTAAAAAACGAAACAATCATTTTATTTGAATGTTTCAAATTTTTTCTTTAAACACGAAGGTAAAATTGCTAAATTTTTAACTCGGTGAAAGCCTACCGCTCTGAAGGACGCGGGATCGAATCCGGACGGGCCGAAAAATCCCCAGGAATTTTTTGGAGTTAGTCCGAACAAATACGTCGGCCTCCGTCCCTCACCACCCGGCCGCCCCATTGTGGGCCTGGACGAACCCATAATGGGCTGGCTAAAAGAGGCCTCTTAGTACCCGCCGGGCGGAGTTAAAAAAACTCATTAATAATTTATGACAAGTAAAAATGAATTTATCAAACAGCAATATGCAAAATCCGTGGAGAGAAGCTTAAAATAATAAAAGAAAAGCAACGCGGTGTCTTCAGAACCGCACGGTCCTCTATTGAGAAGTTTTCAGAAGTGTCGTTACTTCGCGGCTTCGTAATATTCACTGTAACCATAAAGTAAAAGTTTGACACCAATAAACTCGACGCTAATTGGAGAATAAATTACAAAATTAACAATTTCTTTCTTAAATGATATAACTTTTATATTTAATGAAATAGCTGAAAGATTTCAATCAATAATAATTTCTTTGTCGCATCTTGATCCGGCTCGAACACAAATCGTGTTAAAGATTAAATTTAACGTTCGTTGGGCTGCAATTTGAAAAAATTGTAAACCTACCTAAAACTTAGAGTCGGTTTCTTCGCCACGTAATTAGGGCACGGCGCATCGCGCATCCGTATAAATTCCCATTGTCGTCCGTCCGTCTTCCCTTAATCTCGAGAAGGAAAGAACCAGATAATGAAATCCGAGACCAGACACGGAACCTTAGGAATAGGAGGCCCGATTAACTATGTGAACGTTCGATGCAAACCGGAAGTCACGTTATTTCGACTCAAATATTCCCTTCTCCCCGAAAGATGTTGGATAGACGACCGGCACCACTCGATTGCTAAAGGAAGAGTATGATGTATGGAGGCAAGACACTACTAATTTGAGGTGGAGAGCATATATTTTAAATTAAATTAATTAAAAATTGCAGCCCGGCATTGTGACCGTGTCACAATAAATAATTGCTCGCTCACTATTAATTATATTGTGAACGAGCAATTATTATGTTATACAGCGGGTGATCGGTTAACGAACATAATCCGTTCCAAGACTTTGTTCGCTATCCGAATTGTTCGTTAACCGATTATGAATTTACCGTAGGTTTGTATGGGAATTTGATTAATTCGTTCCGCAGACCCCCCAAAATAAAAAAATATATATACTTTCTTACTACGTTTATTTATATGTAATAATAAAAATACATATATGCACGGACTTGCATTTTTATTAGTTATAGTTTTTTATTTGTGGGTGTTAAATATTCTGTCTAATGTCGATCGCTTTTCTCTCTTCTTCAGGATTTTCATAAGTAATTAAAAGCATTGTAATTGTAGAGATCCCCAAGCCTATTAATCTCAACCTGGTTTGTATGCCATTCTAATACCGTTGATCTGACATCGCCCACTTCTTCAAAAGATCTTTAATTAATAGCAGATATCGGCATTAATCCTCTTTTTCACAATAAAGCATAAAAACATATCTCGCAGAGTTTCTTGGTGTTCTCCATTCAACATTCCTTGGCGTTCTTCTGTCGTCAGATCCGTTATGAGTTCTTTGATGTTCTTTATTTCTCAGAAGTGATTTTTGCTTTGAGTCTGTATCTTAGATAAGATTGACTGCGGCCTACTGTAGACTTGTTCACGCCATATTGCCCAGCAACATCAAACATCTGCCCATTCTCTACCTACCGTGTTTCCCCGAAAATAAGACATCCGCAGAAAATAAGACCTAGCACAGATTTTGCTGAATTGCGAAATATAAGACCTCCCCCTGGAAGTAAGACCTAGCGAAGTTTTTTTTTAGTCGTAACGGTCATGGACAGATGCTTGAAAGTGGCCGTTGGTTTTTTGAAAGTACAGCCACTGATTGGTCAGCAGACAATCACGCCACACGGCATGATTTGCATAAGACTATGGCTTGGGAATCACAGATTTGCATAACGTTACGGCTGGTGATGGCTAATTGGTCGGCCGGAAATCACGCCACATGACATTTGCATAGTGCTACGGTTCAGTAAGCACTAATTAGTCATCGAGTTTTTTTTGTTCAATAATAAATGTGAATTCTTCTTCCTGGAAAAAATAAGAATTCCCTGAAAGTAAGACCTGGCGCATTTTTCAGAGCAAAAACTAATATAAGACACTGTCTTATTTTCGGGGAAACACGGTACTATTATATCCTCATCTTTCGAAAATAAAAACCGACGCAAAACTTAACGAGTGCCCGCCCGACAGCCTCGCGAATACTATAAAAGAATTGTTTGTCAGAAAAATTAAAGGTTGAAATTATAAGGGAGCATTTCAAAGTTCGAGGGATATTATCTAATCAGTATATATCGGATTGAGCGACGACGTTGAGGTCTCCCGCGCTCCATAAAGTCACCCGAAAACAAAGGAAAATCAGTCGGTATTTGCTATTTCCGTCGCTTCTTTTTATGTTTGTTCAGTGAAGTGTTCGTTGTCCGATCATAAAAATCTTTCGCCAAAGTGTTCGTTATCCGATTTGTTCGTTAACCGATCCCCCACTGTATATTTACTCGTTCACAATAAATAATAATAATATATTGTGAACGAGTAATTTATTTTGTACCTTGTACTAAATAAATAATAATAATTTATTTAGTACAAGGTACAAATACCCTAAGTACGGGGAACAAAATAAAGATGAAAACACCGAAGAAACTTTGTTCCATGACAAACAAATACAGTAAATATAATACAGTAAAAAGGTAATCTTTGTAAAAAGTAAGTCCGTACAAACAAAACCAAAACATAATATACAGTAATTATAACATATACGCAATATTCCGCGCACCATACAACTTCAGTACATAAATAAAATGACCGGTAGAAAAAATAATAATAATATACAGTGATACCTCGACTTACGCGAACCCGGAGTTACGCGATTTTCAAATCTCGTCGATTCGTCTTTTGTTTGAGCACCACGCAACTCTTGATTACTCATTCCCTCCACATTATTGTTCAACTTACATGTTCGGACGTGTCGCGCGGAATCGACACATAGCTACAATTTATTTCTGTGTTTGTTATATCTACGGAGACTATGTGCTGATTTCTTGTAACAATGAACGAATCAAAAGACGAGATAAGATTAACGAGAACATTTATTAGCTTACATACATCCCACTTGGATTTTACACAAATTGCAAAATTATACCCCGACTTACGCGGTTATCGCTCGGTCCCACCTATCGCGTAAGTTCGGGGTATTACTGTAATTACAAAAACACTATGCGAATTCCCATACATGATACAGTAGAACCTCGATTATCCGGACTAATTGGGGATGAAGGTAGTCCGGATAAGGAAAAATCCGGATAATCGAAACAAATACTTTAATTTGTCTTTTAATGATAATATAACACGTTTTCTTTTCGATGACATATCGGTAATATTAAAACTAAATACTGTATTTAAATCGTGATCAAATTTTCAAAAAAGAAACATTCGTATTGCATTTGGACTACTACTGACCAACGCTAACAGACTACCTATTGTTTAAAAGGCCCTCTGGTGGCGCAAGAAGACGGATTTTATAAAATAAAATGCAGTTGATACTGCATTTTTATGAATAAAAATTTGACAAACAATTTATCATTTTATGACGAGTAAAATTTTTTCGTCGCGTTCGCGGCTTTTAAGTAATGCGTAAACCTTCGAGGCGCGAGGCCCTTCGAACCGCGAGGCATAGGCGGTGGCCCACGTCATCCATGCCTTACGCCGCCCTTGGTCATAGAAATGATATAATTTGAATATAAATTATTTATAAATACGTATGTCAAATTATATTTTTATTACTACGTAAAATATATTTAAGAGTTTACGACCACTGTGCTGGATGAGGCGTTGTTGAAACAAAAAAGTTATGCTTTCCATCACGTACATAAACTGTCGTAATTCGCCAATTGCAAATCAGCAAATTCGTAAAATTTTTGTTTATTTTGAACAATCCGGATAATCGAAAATCCGGATAATGGAGGTTCTACTGTAATTAAGTCGAAATGCTTGACATATCTACCATTCGAAAATAATACACCGATATTTAAATTCTCGAACCACCTCAATCTTACTACCTGTATAAAACAACTTTTCTTTAACAGGACCCACGCCTCCTTCCCTAAAAACAGCAATTTTCGATTTAACCAAATTAACTTCTAGTGCCGCGTTACAAACGACTCCAAAACATTGTAGGGAAAAGGCGGTATTACGGAACCCCTCCGTTTCGAACCGTAGCGGATTGTGGCCGAACCCCGCTAGGCAGACATCCGTAGCCAGGGAAAAACCTGTTTCGCTTCGGTTAAACCAGTGTTTCTCGACCTCTAACGAATCGTCGCCCCCTTCAATGAAACCATTACGTAGTATCGCTCCCTTCGCTTCAAAATTCCGATGCCGAGGGCCGAGGCTAACGCCAAATTCGTACCGCATCGAACAGACTAGTGACTAGTATAATGTTATTTGTTTAATTATCGTACGATATAACCAATAAAATATCTAATTATTCTTAATATGTTTTACTATATCGCCCAGAAAATTGTTTTTCGCCCCCAAAATATAAATTGTTACTAATCGCCCCCTGAACAAGGAAAAACGCCCCCGTTGAGAAACACTGGGTTAAACGGTTGTCCGTAGTGAATTAGCATATTTGTGTTTTTCGAAATTCGAAAGTTTTGAATGCTATACGAATTTAATTGTTTCTAAAATATAAATAAGTGTAGTTGTAGGTTGGCCGGTGCACGCGTTCCGTTCCAGAGACTTAATGTAAAAATTAAATGTACCCCTAAGTTTTTGATAAAAGAAAGAGATAATATTTCGGATATTTATAAATTAATTTATAAATAAAGTTCGGATATTTATATAAATGATGGCAATCCCGAGCGAGTTAAAGCAGCATTAAGATTGTTTGCTAAAGAGAAAAAAGAAGCCGGGGCTGTCAATTGTGTTAAAAAACTCTGTTAGTGATTGATGGTAAAACGTATCGTTATAACTATCAAGATAAATTGGTGGGAAACGCAAACCAGAATCTGTCTTTTCCAATCGCGTTTCCAAATCCACTAAAATTCGTAACCCATACCCGAGATCAAATTATCCAATTTACTATTCGGTCTCTGGTTCATTTTAATCGAGCCTAGCAGACCTTTCGCCTCGAAGTCCCCTTCTGGCAGTTGGTCGACATTTAAATTACCAATACCCTCGGAGAGACGAGACTTTGTTCTACGCGAATCGTAGTCCACACAACTTCCGGGCGAGGAAGTCTTCGGCTTCGTAGCCCCGGAAGAATACGAAAATAAGAAATATGCAAAACAGATTAGCGAGGTGGTCGCAGTCGATCGACACCCACTATTAAGATGTTCGAATTACCGTGTTTCCCCGAAAATAAGACATCCGCAGAAAATAAGACCTAGCACAGATTTTGCTGAATTGCGAAATATAAGACCTCCCCCTGGAAGTAAGACCTAGCGAAGTTTTTTTTTAGTCGTAACGGTCATGGACAGATGCTTGAAAGTGGCCGTTGGTTTTTTGAAAGTACAGCCACTGATTGGTCAGCAGACAATCACGCCACACGGCATGATTTGCATAAGACTATGGCTTGGGAATCACAGATTTGCATAACGTTACGGCTGGTGATGGCTAATTGGTCGGCCGGAAATCACGCCACATGACATTTGCATAGTGCTACGGTTCAGTAAGCACTAATTAGTCATCGAGTTTTTTTTGTTCAATAATAAATGTGAATTCTTCTTCCTGGAAAAAATAAGAATTCCCTGAAAGTAAGACCTGGCGCATTTTTCAGAGCAAAAACTAATATAAGACACTGTCTTATTTTCGGGGAAACACGGTACATCTTTTATGTCTATGAAAAGCGAATTAATTACGTTCATTTTTACAGCGATGCGGGAGTGGTTTTGATTCCCAATTGATTCGGATAATCGACGCTCTATTGTAGTAATAAAAACAAAATTGCCACGCGTCAGATGGGAATCTCGTGGCGTCGGTGTAGCCTACTTTCGTCACGTTCCGAGATGTTCCTTCGCTAACTTCCAATTCCCGGTCGGCTATCGTCTGTCCGTCTGGTTAGCAGCGGTTCCGTGTTTATCTTCTGCTTAAGCTATACCAATGGTTCCCAATTAGTGGTACGCGAAATTGCGTTTAGGGGTAGGAACCACCGAGCTATACCATCCACCTTATACCGATTCGAGCGTAATACGAATAAATTAAGGATTTCCGAAACTTTATATCGTCTTTTTGTCACCCGATGCTTATTTTATATGGTGTAATTGTTTTGTCGGAGGCGGTAATCGCGCGTCGTATAGCGTTACTTAACAATTTTAAGTGAATAAATTTCCGATATATCATAGTTATCCTCCCGGCCCCTACGCGTAACATATTTCGAACAGATAAGACGACATATTGCAACCGAGATCAATTTTTTAAGGTTAGGCTAGGCGATGGGATCTAGACCCCTCCCCATTGTAGCCGGCGGACTCGCTCCCTTCAACCGGGATAAGTGGTTTGAGAATGTTCGTTGTTCCGAAGTATAATTAACATTCTGTACAACCTTTGGTCGCAAATATACTCTATATATATAAGGAAGAGGTTACGAGAATATTCGTCGCGTATGTAAATAGATGGATAGATTTATAGCTTTCCCTATTCTGAATATTTAGTTTAAGAGCGAGTTTTTATTTGTACACAGATGTATAAAAATCGATTTGCCATTAATTATAAGACGAAAAAAGAATTCCACGGAACAATACGAAAAACTTGGTCACGGCGCTTCGAGCCGATGTGGACAATATTTAAATTTAGAATTTAGGTCGGAAACCGGAAACCAATGTAATTTTCCGGAAGAAACTCCGTGGATATTTAATTGTAAAATTATACTTTTGTTTTCGGTCCGAAAATTTGCGCCAATCGACGGCGGAGAAACGAGACGAGAAAAGAAAAACAAATTTTCGGTAATTGAATAAAATCATTAAATTTACTCAACAATATATTATACAATTACACAAATTAAGCCGATAATTAACAGTTTTAGTACTTAACTAAAGAACGACTCGATAAGATACGAAAACATTAGGAACAAAATCGGATAACTCGCCACCGTCGCCTCTCGGGGGACGGTTTTGGCACTGAACCCGGGACACTCGTGTCGAAGCCAACTAAACACTCGAGCGGTCCCGACGTTTGTATATCGAAACGGAAAGTATACCTTACACCCGGACGTAACGCGGAGTGTACCGAATCGAACGAATGGCGTGGTTAAAAGAAACTTATTGTCGAAAAAAATTCGGTCGGTTTTATCACAGATACTTAAAAAATGCATTCCGTCGAACCACGCAGCCGCCAGGGACGTGGCCGACTAAGGGACTCGAACGAGTCTCAACTAAAAGAGGTAGATCGGCACGGGCCATCGATCGAACCGCGGGCGCTCTCTCCGATTCCGCGAGGAAAGTAAGAAAATAAAGACAAGAAATTCGGCCGGAGTCGCGGCAGTTGGGCAAACCAAAAGAATATTCAAAATAGGTCTTTAGAAAGGCGTTAAGACATCTTCCAACGCCGCCCGGCGGATCGATTTGTGCTTAAAAAAGAACGGAGACGGGCGACCTCGGCCACTCCCACTCTTAAAAACCGTTTACTTTGCGTGGAATCGCGTATAAAATTGGAAACGCGCGACGCGGCGGGGCATTTTAAAACGCGATTTATCACAGCTGGAACGAATAATTACATTTGGCGCGAGTCGGACCGCCGACCGACGTCCGGTTTCTCTTTCGGGACCGGGTGCGGCGGCACTTTGGCACGTGCCCGACCTCCCACCGCCCATCACTTGACCGTCAGGCAACTCTGCAGTTTGCGAACGGTGGACTGGTCCAGGAGACAGAGATCGAAGTCGAAAGACGATCTGGAGATGTTGTAGCGTCCCGTCTCCTCGATGACGTCGACGATCTTCTGCAGCAGTTGCCTGTCTCTCAGGGCCATGATCTGCCGCTGCAGCGCCACCAGTTCTTTCAGATACGAAGACTCCATCTGCTTCTTCTTCTCTTCCTCGTCCTTCTTGTTGGCCTGTTTGCCGACCACCTCCTTCCTGCTTTTGTTGTTGCCCTCGCCCTCCTCCTTCCTGGCCTTGGCCTGCTCCTTCTTCGCCCTCCCCGGCTTTTCCGCCTCCTCTTTCGCGCTCCTAGCCCAGGCCTCTTCCTCCTTGGCCGGCACCGGGACCGCTTCCGCTTCCTCCCTAACGCGGTCGGGCTCCGGGCCGGGCTCGGGCGGAGGGGAGTCGGGTCGGACGGGAGACGGGGGATCGCTGGAGAGAGGGGAGAGCAAGTCCTTCTCCATCTCGGCCATCATGGTGGCCAGCGGACCGTGGCTGCCGCCCGGCGGCACGGGCGACAGGCTGAGGCTGGACGAGGGGCTGCTGCCCGCCTCCTCCCGCTCGCCCAGGTCGGGGGCCTCTCCCGCCAAGGGGGGCTGGGGTTCCTCGGGCGTCTTGCACCGCTCCGTTTCCTGGGGCCCGCCGGCCGTCTTCCGGACGTCCGGAGAGGCGCCGTTGCCGGGCTCCGGAGTGGCCTTCTTGTGTTTGGACGATTTGGCCTTGTCCTTGGAGCGCTCCTTCTTGCTACTCGCCCGCTCTTCGTCCGTCGCCCTGTTCTTGCGTTTGTCCTTGCTTTTCGACTCTTTGCTCTTCGTCTTGCAGCCGTCTTTTCTGTCCCCCGCCGCCGACAGCACCGAGCTGTTCTCCGACGAGGTGGAGGCGCTGCGGGGCCTCTTCTTGCCGGGAATGCCTTCCGCGTTCCGTCCGAAGGGGGGAGAAGTGTGTCTCTTCAGCCCCGACTGTTTGCCCTCCTTCTCCGGGTGTTTTCCGCTCTTGACCGGCTTCTGTTCTTTAGTCTCCTTTTCCGCAAAACTTTTCTCCTTAGATACGCGAGCGCTCTTGCAGTCTTTCGCTGCATTCTGGACGCCGCCGGAAGAGTGGGCATTCGTCGACGTTTTGAGGGATTTGTGATTCGACGAACTTTTGTGGCCGCTTTGATGAACAGCATTTCCGCTTTCCTACGAATAAAAAAGGAATAATCATTTTAACACGTCGATACCTTATTATAAAATATAAAGAATATCGAATCGCATTCGTCAAACCGGGATGACCAATTATATGTAAAATAGTAATTGTTAAGTGTTGACACTGGACTCGTCCACATCCACTTTATTTTCTTAATGAACTTTAAGAAAATAAAGTGCGTGTGGAAAAGTCCAGTGTCTCAAAACGTAATATAAAAAAAGGCACAGAGAAGACAGTAATTGCGTCGATACCACGAAAAGTAACCATCCCCTTATTAATAAAATAACATATTTTTCAAATTTTAAATCTTTATATTAATGGATTTAGCGTTGGGATCTGGAGAAAATGCAACGGATATTATTCGTTGTTAAAAAAAACTCGACAGATTATTTTAAAAATGTAGCATCACTTAGATCTAGTTTGGTATTGCAGTTCTTTTGTTGCACGTCTGCACACAAACGAGCATTTATTTCTGCCAAAATCGGTAGTAAAAAGATATTCCCGAGATTATTCGTGAATTTCTCATAATCGAATCGTTCGAATTCCGTGTCTACATCGCAGTCTAACCACCAAACTGCAATAAATTTGACAGTAATATTTTCTGAATACAAAATTTCGACTCTAATAATTATTACGATAAAACCTCCATTTAATGGACAAAACTTCTGGTCGGTACGTCGTATGCGAAAAGTAACACCCTGGTAATTTGAATACGTAATTAAACTGTTTTTTTTTTCAAATCCAAGAGTCACTGCTCATAAAAAGTATTTTCCAAAAAATATACCTACATTTGTTTCGATCTATTACATCCTAAAAACTATTGACAGTACACGTAAGCAATAATACAGAAAACTTTTCTGTGAAATTAAATTTCTCGTACGTACTTAATTTTAATTACACAAACCTATCTACGCAAGTTAAAGCGCACAAACTAACTAATTTGATAATTTTTTAACACGCGTATTGGGAAAATCCATTTACGTAACAGACTTTCGACTTTAACGGATACTCTAACTTTAAGTTCCTTGTTATAATTCTTAAAGTACAGTACAACTGATTGATAGACAGGCAAACGGGAAAATAAGCATAATACATAAATATGTAAATATAATATTTTTGATAGGAAGTTAAAAATCGACGGTTTTAAAACTAAGAAACTTTTCATTCGAAAACCTACGCTCTGTCAAACCTCGATTCCACTTGCAAGTTCCTGGCAGTCCTAGCGAGAGATGGCGGTCAATGTTTGGCCACAAAGATATAAAACTTTTATTCTAACAGAAGTGATAGCACTTGCAGTTATGCAATTAAATAAAGCTGATTAAAAACAATACGTTGGCCAATTAGATACACCTCATATAACAAACTCTAAGTAATTTGCCTCTGCCCGGCCAAGTGGCACTACGGAGTATAAAGAGACTATGTCTTAATCATAGGCCTGGTCTGATACCCAGCAGCTACTGGTCAAACCCGAGATAAATGCTTTAGCTCTGGCTCCGGCGTAACCCAAGAAGGGACCACCAACCTTCATCGCCTTCCCCCTCTCGAGTCCAACCCTCTTACTTGGAATACGGTTTTGGTGCAGCCTATACTGTACATAGAGTACTCTACCAAAGAGAGTCCAGCTCTTAATAATGGTCCCCTCCCCTAGAAAAGGGGGCCCTGCCCAGCGCGAGCTTATAGGTCAAAGAGACCTATTACTTTTCCCATCAATTCCTTAAATACACTGTCACACTTTCACGTATGGAATGGCTCCTGATGTTCTGATGTCAAATAGTATCACTATTGGCCATCAAAATTGTCAAATAGTGGCAGCAGTAGCAACAAATATTCGGCGTGCCAAATTTTCCACGGTGGCATGGCAAGCCACTAGACTGTCTGCAAGATTGTTTTCAAAGTAACCACCACTGCCGCTGGAAACGTGCAAGTGGAATCAAAACTATATATCAAAATCAAAATAATTAAAATTTTTATAAGACTTAACAATAACCGTTCTGTTTTTGATCACTTATTTCCAATTCTTCAGTAAATCAACACAGATAACTTTCACTCTAATTAGTCAAAATCACCTTGATTAACTAAACTGCTTATGTAAAAGCTAACCATTTGAGAAAGTAAATAGAATGAAAATAAATTAATGTTAAATATGACATACAAAAAAATTGAAACACAATGACAAATTTAGAGTAATAACTTATATATATATATCTCATGAAATATATCTAAATATATAAAATTGCTTGTCCTGACTGACTCACTCATTCATTTACTGATTCATCATCGCCCAGAGCAAACCGCTTAACCTAAAGAGGTGAAATTTGGTACACAGTTAGGGTACGTCATGGAAACGCACACTAAGAAAGGATTTTTCGAAATTCCAACGCGGGGGGGTGAGGG